AATTTCGATAGTACAATTAGCAGTCTGATTAGATGTCCCTCTTGCCTTTCCTCTGAATGTTGAGATTCCCTGGTCACTCCTGCTCCACCAGTCTCTCCAGACATTATCTGTTCTGTGTTTCCGCATTGTTCATTTAGGGGTATATGCATGGGAAGAGGAAGGCCAAAGAGAAGATGGGTGCAGGATGTGGCGGATGATCTTTAGAAGAGTGTATTGGACGCAGGAGATCTTGATGGTGATTTCTGGAGGGTTGTTATGGGAGCAAGGTTCTGCAAGGAACATGCTACTGACTGACTGACTGACATTGTTCATTTACTTCCAAAGAGCATTGACCATTTTTGGCTTATGGTGGGTCTGTTCAAAACTTAGTGATGCCAGTCAGCCAGTCTGACGTCCTTTTGTTTCTCACCTCCCCTGCATATCCTGAAGAAAATAGCCAGTGGGATCTAACTGCCTGGGAGCTTTGAAGCGATGCTTGCCACTCTGCTCGCAACATGCGTGTCTCCTTTCTCGAGATGTTTTGTGAGTCTGTTACAATCATGAAATGTGTGTACAACTTGTTCTCAAGCCAGTGGAAAGCTGAAGTTACGGCTTAACTCAAATTACTTTATGTGGTATCCAATCTTGAATATTGTTTCTGCCCCTGGGATGTAAGCTTTTCAGTGACTTGTGAAATCTGGTCTTCAGTCTAAACTTCATCTTCGTCATCCCTCTTGCAGAATGCAATTTTTCGTTATTCTGAAGCCCCACCCTAGTTGTTGCCAGGGGCCACAATAAAACCAAATGGTTTACAGCGGTTTCCAGGACCCCTCCACGGGTGATCCTCAACTGCATGGTGGCACTTTGTGTCACCGGGTGTTTATCGCTCTGTGTAATGTCCTGGTGGGGTAAAATCTACTTACTTACTACTTACAGTCTGAACTTTGAGCTAAATTCCTGTCTCAAAAATGGTGTACAACAGAACCCGGGACTATTCAGCAAATTTTCATATCCTAGACTAAATTATCACTAGCAGATTTGTCCCTTAGATATCAATCATAATATCAAGACTGTTGTCACCATCTGGCAGTGATCCATCAACGATAGAGTAGTATGGACAGTTCTAGACTTTTATCCTTATCATTTAGTATAAAAAAATCACGTACAAATTGTATCCCATCTAAATAATTTTTTTTTTTTTAAATCACAAATTAATGCACCGACCACGATGAACATCGCAAATGAAAGTATATCCTGTTTTTAATCCTAATTGTTAAAAAAACTTGTTCATAAAAGTTCGTTTTCTCTACAAAAGGAACAAAATTAGAGTGTCTCTATCATGAGCCAGTAAACTGGCTTTACGTCTTTAAGGGATAGACTTAATCGCCAGTATACTGGCTAAACGTCCGTAAAGAGTTAGACATAAATCTACACTTCAGCACTATGTGAACTTGATTCAGATACTAGACAATACAACTAAAACATACAAGTATCCCACAGTTTAGGACTTGTTGCCTTCACTCATCACTACCCTTGTCCTTCACATGCAACTATCAGTTTTCTACACTCATTATAATCCCGTGTTTTCTTACTCTGTATTCTAACTTCTGGAACCCCTGATGAAATTATATGGATATCCTGGTTATCTAAAGACACCAACAGAAATAACCTGTCAGTATGACGAAAACAGAAGGCTCTATGAACTGTGATTATAATGCAAAACAACTGAACGGTATAGAATACGGAAAACAGATATTGGGACCTTAGAATTCACCACAAAGCGATCAGGACGCCAGTTACATTGAACCTTTACGTCACGCCTGTGTTGCTCTGGATATCTGATTTCCAAAGGCATTCTTCCGGTGTTTTTTTCACTATCTTTTGACAGTTCACGGTCTGTCTACAGGGACGTGAGGACAGTTCACTGGCTGTCTACAGGGACGTGAGGACAGTTCATTGTCTGTCTACAGGGAAGTGAGGACAGTTCACTGGCTGTCTACTGGGAAGTGAGGACAGTTCACTGTCTGTCTACAGGGAAGTGAGGACAGTTCACTGGTCTGTCTACAGGGAAGTGAGGACAGTTCATGGTCTGTCTACAGGGAAGTGAGGACAGTTCATGGTCTGTCTACTGGGAAGTGAGGACAGTTCACTGGCTGTCTACAGGGAAGTGAGGACAGTTCATGGTCCTGTCTACAGGGAAGTGAGGACAGTTCACGGGCTGTCTACAGGGAAGTGAGGACAGTTCAAGAGGCTGTCTACAGGGAAGTGAGGACAGTTCATTGTCTGTCTACAGGGAAGTGAGGACAGTTCACGGGTTGTCTACAGGGAAGTGAGGACTGTTCACGGGCTGTCTACAGGGAAGTGAGGACAGTTCACGGGCTGTCTACAGGGAAGTGAGGACTGTTCACGGGCTGTCTACAGGGAAGTGAGGACAGTTCACGGGCTGTCTACAGGGAAGTGAGGACAGTTCATTGTCTGTCTACAGGTAAGTGAGGACAGTTAATGGCTGTCTACAGGGAAGTGAGGACAGTTCGTGGCTGTCTACAGGGAAGTGAGGACAGTTCATTGTCTGTCTACAGGGAAGTGAGGACAGTTTAAGGGCTGTCTACAGGGAAGTGAGGACAATTCATTGTCTGTCTACAGGGAAGTGAGGACAGTTCATTGTCTGTCTACAGGGAAGTGAGGACAGTTTAAGGGCTGTCTACAGGGAAGTGAGGACAATTCATTGTCTGTCTACAGGGAAGTGAGGACAATTCATTGTCTGTCTACAGGGAAGTGAGGACAGTTCATGGCTGTCTACAGGGAAGTGAGGACAGTTCACGGGCTGTCTACAGGGAAGTGAGGACAGTTCACGGGCTGTCTACAGGGAAGTGAGGACAGTTAATGGACTGTCTACAGGGAAGTGAGGACAGTTAATGGACTGTCTACAGGGAAGTGAGGACAGTTAATGGACTGTCTACAGGGAAGTGAGGACAGTTAATGGACTGTCTACAGGGAAGTGAGGACAGTACACAGGCTGTCAACAGGGAAGTAAAGACTGATCACGGGCTGTATACAGGGAATTAAGGCCTGTTCACGGCCTGTCTACAGGGAAGTAAGGACTGTTCATGGGCTGTCTACAAGGAAGTAAGGACAGTTCATGGGCTGTCTACAGGGAAGTTAGGAGAGTTCACTGGCTGTCTACAGGGAAGTGAGGACAGTTCTATGGCTGTCTACAGGGAAGTGAGGACAGTTCACGGGCTGTCTACAGGGAAGTAAGGACTGTTCAGGTCTGTCTACAGGGAAGTAAGGACTGTTCACGGGCTGTCTACAAGGAATTAAGGACTGTTCATGGGCTGTCTACAGTGAAGTAAGGACTGTTCACAGGCTGTCTACAGGGAAGTAAGGACTGTTCACTGTCTGTCTACAAGGAAGTAAAGACTGTTCACTGTCTGTCTACAGTGAAGTAAGGTTGCTTCTCTCTTTGCTGGTTCCTAATCTTTGACCACTCCGTCATGAAAGATTCTAACAGCAGCTAGTCTATTACTACTTTACTCTTGAGATCACTGGAAATACAAACCTTTCCATCCCATTAAGCTGGACACAGCAGAAAAGAATGCTAGATTTGTACACCCAAGCCTCGAGATATCAAACATGGAGCATTCATCTCACCACTGTCCTGTTGTCACAGTCTATTCCTCCATGTATGTCCATCCTGAGCAGTTAATTCAATGTCATCGATAGAATCCAGTCCAGCACTTTTAGATTCTCCCATTAACGTTCTTTCCAGGGTTTTTTGGGGTGTGGGGTGGGGGGTGTTCTCTCTTCCTCAGTTCCTATATTTCCCATTTGTGTGCCTGTCTGGTGATTCCCACGGTGTGTATAATAGAGCGCCACCCTCCGTTGTCTTATATTGTTGATACAAGTGGTTGCCCAGACGTTTCTCTTATGTCTTCACCCTTCTTATATTCATCCCACTTTACGTTCAACATTTTCTGCAGGCATTTGTTTTTAAATGCATTTATCTTTTGTTCAGTGCTTTCAATATTCTTCTCCGGCTTTCCCTGCCTTGTGTAAACATTGAAGTAGCGTTAGTATTAAAATGTCAACTAAATCTTGTCAAGGAAATAGTCTAACTTGTGGACATTTTCTACGTTAATAAACATTCGGTTGTAGTTGTTGTTACGATTTTAGTAGATAAGAAACATCTCTCTATAAGACTATATCCTTAAGAGCCGTATGCTACGATAATAGACTTTGGCATCTACAGCAACGAAGAAAAGAAAGAAAGTTCCAAGATGCCATTTTTAAGAAGACACACAACGTATTGAGAATACAGACGATCAGTAATGAGATCCGAATTAAAGTGGATGCAAAACAGTGCTAGATTACATTTAACAAATAAACAAATAAATAAAAAAAAGAGCAACGGTTTGGAATGTAACTCGGCTACCAACAAAAACAAAGAACGTGATGTACAGACCAAGTGAGAATAATAAGAGAGGCGACAATGCACACCATGGACAGAAGGAATAAAGAGTCTTTACAAGCGCATACGAAGAACACAAACGTGGAGTCTCACACAGCTTATAGCTTATTGCTTCTTTCTTCTTTTGTCAAAATCTGCTTGTGCCGCTAGGCGTCGCAGTCTATCAGATGATCGGCAACCGAGCCAGGGCGCGCTCAGTCGCTTCATATATAGCTTATTGCGACATGGCAAATAACGACAGGATTAAGATGTGATGGGATGAGAGGAAAAGTTTGCACATCGATATGAATTTGTGTGTGTGTAAAAATGAATCAATCGTTGTTCTTTTCGGCACAAATTATGAACACAAATATTCGTTTCTATGACAACGTCAACAACAGCAACGTATCATAGATGCAGTCACGATTGTAACTTCCAGTCCCACACTAGACTTGTATACTGTTTAGTCTCCAAACACTTCGTCACTGCTCATAGCCCCCACAGTTGCTGTAGCCAGTGACCTTTCACACAAGTGCCATCTTTATATCCCCAGTGCCCAGTTATAAAAGCAAGAATGGCCAGTTTCGATGGCAAAATTGAAGAATTCTTTAACGCAGCTGACCTTGAAGGCAACGGCTACCTGACTCGCCTTGAACTGTGCAAGGTTCTTCAACAGGCTGGGGACAGTCGCAGCGTGGACGACATCTCTGTAAGTACCCACAACAAAACAGACAAAACGCATATAACTGATGATATTGATTGTATGTATTTAGGAGTGGCGCTTTGTGTTTAGAGACTTAGTGTGTAAGGAAACAGTGCTGCATTTGATATGACCCAGTAAGCGCGGTGGCTAGCATTCCCTAGCCGTTCCGACCTGACTGTATGTGGTTCGATTCAGCATCGCAGCGGATTTTGAAACTTGATATGTGCTTCAGGGTAACGAGCTTAACATTGGCGTCTGAACATGAATCAGCAAGTACCTCCAGGGGCTTTTGACAAGTTTCCTTACTTACTTACTTACTTACTTACTTACTTACTCTTACTTACTTACTTAGAAAGATACTACTTACTTACTTACTTTAAAGTGGTTTTATGTTACGTTGGAAATGTCTTGTGTAAACGTTTAGGTGGGAAATTTCATTCCCGGGATGGCACTAACTAGGGCCTGATTTAGACTTGACGAGGCCCTAAACTATCTGAAGCTATGAGGCCCTTAACGTTTTAAATAACACTAGCTAATCTCATGAAACTTTAAAATGTATTCGCCTTAAAAATATGCTGATCATGAAAGTAATGTTTTTTTTTTTTATTATATAGAATATATTTGTAAAATCATAGAAATTATATTATTCAACTATCTAAACGGCTTTGATGTTTATATATATATAATATATATATATTTATATGTTTATATATATATATATATATATATATATATATATATATATATATATATATAGAGAGAGAGAGAGAGAGAGAGAGAGAGAGAGAGAGACACACACACATTTTAGTATTAGGTAGACAATATATAAAATGAAAAGGTTGCACCGCGAATTAATAGCAGAAGACACATTTTTGGAATGAATCAAAATAAGAAAACACCAGAGCAAAGAGGCATTGTGGTCTATTTCTAAATAGGGGGAGAAAAAAGCAGAATAAACGTGTACTCTACCATACGATCAGATCCACTGGCGGTACAGATCTTCACTTAGTCAGGTCTATCACCCAGCTAACCCCAGTTAACTTCTATTGTTTTAAGAATCGACACCACAGCACACCGAGCATACCCATAGGTGCTCCGTCTCCCGCAGCAAATGTCTTAAGGTGTAGATGCCTTCTATTCCCGTAACACATAGCTTGCAAAACTCGTCGTTTTTGTCCTTTTATAAGTCCGTCCGTTCCGGATCCAAATCTCATTCCTCGTTTACACATTCTTACTCATGTTAATCATCTAATTTCTTATCTTCTATCGGCATTCATTCATACATGGTCTTTAGAATGCCTCCTTTATCCCGTGCAAGTGTTCCCGTAGCTTTCGCTTTTGTAGTCAGAAAATCCGATCTTTCATTTTCTCGCACTCCTGTATCTCCTGGACAGCATATCAGTCCCTGCTAACTCCATCCCTAAAGAATAATCTATGGCTGACAATTGACATATTCATCATCTGCATCATTTAGGCTACAATTATAATAAAGAAGGTTGCGACAAAAAGCTTTCATTAGCAAAGAAAAAAAAAAAAACATGACACAGGGAAGAGGAAAAGAGGAGTTAAATAAAAAGAAGCAATCTGTGTTGATGAAGTTTGTTGCATGTAATTAGAGGTTTTGAGCCAAAGCGTTATTTGCTTGTTTATTGTAATTTGTAAATCAGATCTACTCGTATATTTCGGTTTTCCCATTGACTGCATTTTCAGAGCTTTCTCACAATTCACTTATTTCATCATAGGCGCAGTCCTATTGAAGCACTCACTAGACAGTGGTACAAACAGTGCAGTTATTTTGAATGTTTTCAAACGTTTCTAATATTTAACAAGTTTGCTTACATTTGCCAGATGTTTTAAACATATTTTTAGTACATGCCATTCAAAAGCGTCTAAGAATAGAACACATGTGTTTCCATACAAGGTCAGCCTGTCTGCAATTTACTGGTTCATGATCATGATGATGATATGGGGAAACTAGATTGCGGTGATGTTGATACCTCGACTAAGACAAGGACTAAGTTAATCTTTCAGAAGGAATTCTTAGTACCCACAACAAGATGATTGATACAATTTTATAAAGTGGAAATCGGTCTAGAAAACCCATATATACTGTGTGTTTGTGTGTGTGTGTGTGTGTGTGTGTGTGTGTGTGTGTGTGTGCGCGCGCGCGTGCACTGATTACACAAACAAACATAAAACGAATTATCAAAAAAAATACTGGACTAATAACGGTAAATGCTGGTCTGATTACATGACAATTTGGACCGATAACACGAAATACTGAACTGATAACATGTAAGAATGCGCTGTCTACGCCCTCACCACGTCTACACGTAATGCTTAACAAAAAAAAAAAAGAGAAAAGTTGAAAGAGGCTGACTGGTACACGGAACACCGACCACGGATAATCATCGGCTAGATGGAGAGAGGAGATTCTATGAGAACTATGGGTCTCGGGTGCCCATGCCTGAAGACTTAAGTATGTGGAACCCAGGGGTCTGAAACCAACCCCAACTCCCTTTTTTTCTACCGTGCATCATCAACGTTTTCTTTGTGTCAGCGCTTTCTGCCAGGAGTATCAGAGTAATTTAATCAAGCAGTTACAACAAAGATCACTTACAGCCGTAACTCTGAACTAGTATCATCATCATCCACACAGGGCAAACTTCTATTACACATTTTACTGGATACAGCTTGCTTTGTTGTCTTTTAATAGGGCTGGTTCAGCGAAATTGATAAGAACGACGATGAAAGGATGACTTTGCCAGAACTAAAGAAGGCCTTGTCCTTGAGAGATCCCAAAGACGTTAAGTAAGTCAAAGGTTACTGTGTTCGGTCACGTTTTACGTGTAAGTATGGTGTACTTCCTCTCCAGCATTCCAAGCCTTTGATGTTCCTTGCTGCGGATATCACCCGCCTCTACTCATCTCTCTGGTTGGCCATCTGCCTCCATTTCATGACACCAAGTGTTTGCTTAAAGGTACGCTTTGATGTTATCTCTCCAGTGTCTTCTTCGACTGCCTCGACCATTTGACTCCCCAGCGTGCACATTTTGTACCTCTCTGCCATCTGAGATTCACTCCATATGCCCCAGCAATTTCAGTATATTAGCCCTCATGATGCAGTTTACTATATCCCGGGTCACGTAGTGCTATGGACAGGTGCAATAATCAGGAAACACGACATGGGGTGGCCTAGAACAATAACAATAGTATCTAACTGGTCAAGTGCCGAGCATGTGCACAATTTTGTTTATAAAATAAGGAATTTAAGGATGTTATATATGGAAACCAGAGAAACTTTGTTTGACCTTCTAGTGTTAGTCATTTATGACCGTCTGGTGCTGGTCATATATTACCGTCTGGTAACTGCCAAGTAATAAGTTAAACAGATGTTTTTGTTGTTTTTCATACCATGATGCCAGTTTGTCAGACATCCTCTCGTTTGGCCTCACTTTCCCTCAGACCCTTATATATATATATATATATATATATATATATATATATATATATATATATATATATATATATATATAGAGAGAGAGAGAGAGAGAGAGAGAGAGAGAGAGAGAGAGAGAGAGAATAAAAGCTCGTTAACACACATCCCAAATAACAGAAAAATCAAAAGTTTGTTAAAAAATGCGTGTTCACCGGTGAATAATTAACATAATAATGAATAATATACCCCTACTGGGACTAATATTTTATTCATTTTAACGAAATGCTCGTTTTAGGCGAGTTAGTGTTAGGGAGGTTTCCTTGTGCCCAATGTGTATGTATGTGTATATACACACACATATATGTAGATGTGTGTGCATGTTTGGGGACGTATGTATGTGTGTGTGTGCGCGCGCGCGCGAATGTGTGTGTACGTGCGTGTGATAAATGTTGATAATCAATGTCTACCATTTGACCCCAACAGGGAATGTGAGCTTCGCGCTGTCTTCAAACAGCTGGACAAGGACAACTGCGGCAGCATCTCCATTGAGGAGCTGAAACAAGTGCTGGCCGAACAAGGGCTGGCTGGGGACGCAGAAGCCATCATTGACCAAGTGGACAAGGACGACAATGGAAAAGTCAGCTTCGAGGAATTTCTCCGAATGTGGAAGACCAGTTGCTAGAAGTCAAATAGCAAATTGTAAATCAAGTCGTGCCAAGCTACGTTAGTGAATGCTGCTTAGAATACAGAAGAATAAAATCGTGGGAAGATGAATTGAGATTTATGTTATAAGAAACACCGCTGCAACCTTATACTGGTTATGGCTAAGACAAAAAACATGGTCTTTAGATTATAAAATTAATAATAACGCTGGCTTTGAAATTGTTAATAGACTATTAATAAACCACTTGCAGAAAGAAGCTAAAGCGACTATCGTTGGCTGAAATGTTTTGTGTAGGGCGAAATATTCCTTCCGGGCTACAGTATTGCTAGACTAAATAAAATCATTATGCCCTGCCCCCCCCCCCCCTTTTTGGTTAACCTTAACATGATCACGCCCATAAAAAGTAATCCTTGAAACTAATTATGAGTATATTTTAGATCTATCTTCCTTGTGGCGTAAAATGTACTACTACTAAAAATTGTCGTCGTACATAAATCAATGAAAGTTGTCTCGTTGTGGGGAGCAATATTTTGTTTGAAGCCCCAATCCGGCTTCTGTTGCGGCCCTAAATATAGCCGGGGCATAGACATGGCCTAACGACTGAAAGGGGTAGGTTCTGGGACCTCTTCACGGGTGATCCTCATCCGCATGGTGGCACTTTGTGCCACCGGGTGTTTATGACTCGTGTGATGTTCCGGTGGGGTACAACAAGAGAGAGAGAGAGAGAGAGAGAGAGAGAGAGAGAGAGAAAGAGAGAGAGAATCATACGAGATGGTTGTTTTTCAAGTCGTCCCCATGGGGGCCCTGAATATAGCGGGGCCATACATATTGCCTAACGGCTGTAAGGGGTTTCTGGGATCTCACCACGGGTGATCCTCATCCGCATGGTGGCACCTTGTTTGTATCACTAGATGTTTATCGCTTGTGTGATGTCCTGGTGGGGTACAACTTATCTACCTAGCATACGAGACAAAGTGGGCACAGTAACAATTCTGAATTACATTCTTCTTCTTCTTCTTCTTCTTCTTCTTCTTCTTCTTCTTCTTCTTCTTCTTCTTCTTCTTCTTCTTCTTCTTCTTCTTCTTCTTCTTCTTCTTCTTCTTCTTCTCTTCCACCTTGTACCTCATCGAAGTGTTGGGGTTGATGTAATTTTCGTTGATGAGCTCTGTCAAGAGCACTATTAAGACTGATGTTCATTTCTGTATGGCTGTTCTTAATGCTCTTACTCCATATTTTCTTAGGTGTTCAACTCGCTCTATACCTGTTGTAACGTTTTAGTGTGGCAGATAGCACCAGGGCATTTTAGTTAGGTGTCTAAACCACTTCATTTGTTGTTCTTTGATGACCTGTAAGACTGGCTTTATTCCTAGCATTCGTCTGATTTTGTAATTTCGTAGTCGGTCTCTTCTTGAAACTCCTGCAGATCTTCTAAGGCATTTCATCTCTGTTGTTACAATTTTACTTTCATTGTAGGATGTAAGTGTCCACGTGTGGCATTGATTGTAAAGTGTTGGCCAAAAAAATAGTTCTGACAAGATTCACTTTAGTAATCCGGTGTATCTGCTTGTGTGTCAGCAGAGGAGATAGTTGTCCCATACCTTTGGTACATCTCGAGCGAAACACCGTGGGATGGGAAAATTGTTCCCAAATACTTAAATTCCTCTGTTTTAAGGTTGTTGTTTTTTTATTTTATTTCTAAATTGTCTTTCTGTCTGCCAATCACCATCGGCCATTTCGTAGTGTTTATTTTCATACTATATTTCTCCCCTTTGTTATGAATTTGATTTAGGTGGTTCTGTAGACGTTCCGTACTTTTTGCTGGTCGTCGGCGAACAGTAATTCTGTAATATCTTCTTTATGATTAAAGCACGTTTCCTTACATATGATATCCATGTATGTTATAAAGGGAAGCGGCGATAGTAAACAACCCTGACGCACACCAGAGTTCACTATGAAAGTTGTTGATAATCCTGCCTTCTATCTTATGCAGCATTTACTACATCTGAAAATATTAGTAAGATGATTGCTGATTTCCTTTTTACCAATAAATTACATACAAAGATAGCATATCAAATAGTTTGCCTGCTAGAGAATGCTTTCAGATGCTATACCATACAAGGCATAACACTGCTTGGAGTAACCTTTATTTTTGTTTCGGGATACGCAGGCGTCGATGGAAATGAAAGAGCTGACAGGTTGGTTGGATCCGCTATCACTACCGACGGTCAGCCTATGGATCATGCTGGTATTATTAATGCCCTGAGAGAAATGGGAAGGATAGGGGACTTTCGTGGCAGTGAATCCACATCACTCGCCAGAATGGCAGACTTGGGAATTAAAATCGTCATAGCAAAAAAAAAAAGACGCACACCAGACACGCCAGAAGACTTGTTAATCAACATAGAACGTACTATTAGCCATAGGGTGTTGGGATTCATACTGAGGTAGTCTGGTAGTCTTAGTTTCAGCTTCATAGCAAACGGGTCAGCCCATCTTTGCTCCGCTCCTGTGCCAACGAATAACACACAGAATGTTTATCACAGTCCCTTGTGGAAAGATCGACAGACTGCTGTCTCAGCATATCTAGTATAAACTCGCATTAAAGCATAGGGTAGCCATCCGAAGTGCTAACACAAACAGTCCAACATTAGAAATGCAGTTCATCATTGATGATAGCAGAACTTGTCGCCAACAGATCAGCAGTTGCCCACGCGATCAATTTCAATCACATACTGGCACCGCCAACATTGCACGACAGGCATCGCGCCATTTTCTGAATCTACAATTCACACCACCACGTTGGTTACAGTCGAAAAAAACATTCCAAATGCAATCCGCAGCTCACAGTGTCACGTCATGCATTCAACTCAGCTGGGCGACGAAACTATATCCAGTCTACAAATGGAGCAAAAATGCATCGGCCACCGTCTGGCAGAAGCAAAAAATGTGCCTCTGCTTCGAACAGTGCCGCTGCCTAGCGTCCATTTTAACCGGAAGTTATACTTAGGGGAGGATCTGAGCACCTATGGACATGTAAGGAGTGCAATGCTGATAACCCAACTAACTGACTAACTAACTTACTAACAAGGCATAACACAAAAGAGAAGAAGGACGTAGAGCAAGAGGTAGACCAAGAATAAGATAAGAAGATAACAATAGAGAAACTCTACAGCACCACTCTACAGCACCACATCTGTGGTCAAAGCAGCCAAAATAACACGAAGCAGGACCTTATATCTCTTTCGACACCCGAAGCGATAATACTTAAAGAAGAAGAATGCCCGTTTTACATTCGACTTCTTCAAATACCAATCTTTCACGCAGCAATCGTATTAGACAGAATGAGAGAAACCAAGAGAGACGACAATAGAGGTAGGCACCATGGCACAAAAGTATTCGCAATGACTGACAGCCCACGATACAGAAATCTGTAGACATAAATGACTGCCAGCGCCGCTCTGCCCACTTCCTTAGAAGCGAACAAAATGTCAAATCCCTACTTACGGTGCAAGTTTCAGCCAATCATAATCATGATTGTAAAGATTCTTGTCAAAGAAAGAATAAAAGAGGTGAAGGATCTTTAAGCTTGGTCATAGTCCAGGACACAGAAAAAACGGCCAACGAGAGTACTGTGTGGAATCGTGATAAGACATGATTCGATTGCAAAGACTGTATGTACTTCAAGGAACAATGGAGGAGGGGAGGGGATAGTCGAAGAAGAGGAGGGCAAAGAGGAAATTGGAATGACAACATTAAGAAGTGGACAGGACTAAGTTATCATAGAGTTATTCATCAAGCGGAACACAAAGATGGGGAGTTTTGGGTGCTAGTGCTTCGATCGATAGACCTCCACGACCCTAACGGGTCTAGAGTTATGTTATGTTTAAAGAGGTAAACAAAATACGACACAGTCATGCTCAGATCTATTAATATAGAATGTGGTTCTGGAACAAGACTGAAGGACATAGGCGGACGAATTACCAGAAGTTTACTGACGGAGAACGCGAAAAAGAAGAAGGAATACGCGAATTATATAGTGTGACAGAGGATGGACAACTAGGAAGGGACTATTTCAAAAAGTGTTATGTCTACCACATATTTTTTTTTTACCAGGTTGTAGCCCAGTGTCGTGATTTTTCTATATCTGTTTTGCTCTTCTCGGGTGGCTTGGATGATGGATTTGTTTATCTTTTTTGCAGGTTTTAGCTATACCATATACCCCCCCCCCCTTTCTTTACCGGTCTTCCCTTCGCCTTTCTCGAAGATGGTCTGCTGTAAAAATCATACATGCAGTTTGGTCTGGCTGCATTCTTACTAGATGGCCGAACTATTTCATTCTTTGTCTGTCAGTATAATCTAGAGAAGTATTTTTCCAACTGGATCTCTAATGCTGGTATTCGTAATCCTGTGTTTTCTGATGTCGTTAATGACCTTGCGGAGAGTGCATTTTACAGGCAGCTTTTTCTGTTTACCTTTACTCTGGGGTTGGAGGGGGAAGGCTCAAATCACACAAGCCTTCAGGTTCCGGCGCCCCTGCTACATACAGTCAAGCCCCACACACTTCTACCCACACACTTTTATGCACACACTTCTACGCACACACTTCTACGCACAAACACCAGTAAGTACACACCTCTACACACAAACACGTCTACGCACATACTACTGCGAATTATTGTGAGGGCTATTTAACTGGCAAGATCTGAATCGCAAGAGACGACACTCGTTAAATTCTAAGTGAGAAACGTGATCGGCTGTGTCGATAGATACATAATACAGATAGTGATGCTAATTCTACTCGGCTACCTAATGACTGGCACGTTTGCTTCCCGGTGGAATGATAGTGTGTACGAATCCTATTCTACGCAGGTAAAAATTTTATGTCACCTGCGGTTGGGGTTAAGAATACCTGGCTAGGTCAAAAAGAAGAGAAAATCTGAACTTCGAAAGAACATTTCTTAGTAAATATGTTGTATCAATTGAAATCCGTTGGTCATATTCAAAGTTTTCAACGACCATTAGTGGAAGAATGGGCAGGAGTCGACCAACGAACTATCCAATACCTTCGGGGTTTAAGGCAGGCAGCAGGGACACTGATGCAGGTTTGAGAACCGTTCTGCTAGCAGAAGAGGGCAACGTTTTGCAACTGGCTTAATTACTTGATGTGGTATAATACCGTCTCCAGGTGTTTTTATTTGTGTAAATCTCGTCATTTCATGCTTACATCTCTCTTATTGCACTTCTTCTGTTGGCATAGAGCTTTAATTACATTTGTCTTTTTTTTTAAGTTTTGCATGCTACATATAGCCTGCTTTCACACGTGGCTCTGCGAATCACGGACTATTAGAAGAAGAAAAAAAGTAAATAAAGCTCTTGACCCCCTTCCCCTTTCCGCCCCCGAGATGTTGATTTGAATATAGATGTTTATATATATATATATTTTAAACTGACATATGTGACAACTCGGAGGTTTCTGGAAAGAGGGACTAAAGAAGACAACGTTAGAAGATTCCGCAGCATTTGTCAGGGCGTGGAAGGATGTCTGCACTGAAAGTGATATATGCTGTTGTAAGGATGTCTGCACTGAAAGTGATATATGCTGTTGTAAGGATGTCTGCACTGAAAGTGATATATGCTGTTGTAAGGATGTCTGCACTGAAAGTGATATATGCTGTTGTAAGGATGTCTGGACTGAAAGTGATATATGCTGTTGTAAGGATGTCTGCACTGAAAGTGATATATGCTGTTGTAAGGATGTCTGCACTGGAAGTGATATATGCTGTTGTAAGCATGTCTGCACTGGAAGTGATATATGCTGTTGTAAGGATGTCTGCACTGAAAGTGATATATGCTGTTGTAAGCATGTCTGCACTGGAAGTGATATATGCTGTTGTAAGGATGTCTGCACTGAAAGTGATATATGCTGTTGTAAGGATGTCTGCACTGGAAGTGATATATGCTGTTGTAAGGATGTCTGCACTGAAAGTGATATATGCTGTTGTAAGGATGTCTGCACTGAAAGTGATATATGCTGTTGTAAGGATGTCTGCACTGGAAGTGATATATGCTGTTGTAAGGATGTCTGCACTGAAAGTGATATATGCTGTTGTAAGGATGTCTGCACTGAAAGTGATATATGCTGTTGTAAGGATGTCTGCACTGGAAGTGATACATGCTGTTGTAAGGATGTCTGCACTGAAAGTGATATATGCTGTTGTAAGGATGTCTGCACTGAAAGTGATATATGCTGTTGTAAGGATGTTTGCACTGAAAGTGATATATGCTGTTGTAAGGATGTCTGCACTGGAAGTGATATATGCTGTTGTAAGCATGTCTGCACTGGAAGTGATAAATGCTGTTGTAAGGATGTCTGCACTGGAAGTGATATATGCTGTTGTAAGGATGTCTGCACTGGAAGTGATATATGCTGTTGTAAGCATGTCTGCACTGGAAGTGATATATGCTGTTGTAAGGATGTCTGCACTGAAAGTGATATATGCTGTTGTAAGGATGTCTGCACTGAAAGTGATATATGCTGTTGTAAGGATGTCTGCACTGGAAGTGATATATGCTGTTGTAAGCATGTCTGCACTGGAAGTGATATATGCTGTTGTAAGCATGTCTGCACTGGAAGTGATATATGCTGTTGTAAGCATGTCTGCACTGGAAGTGATATATGCTGTTGTAAGCATGTCTGCACTGGAAGTGATATATGCTGTTGTAAGCATGTCTGCACTGGAAGTGATATATGCTGTTGTAAGGATGTCTGCACTGAAAGTGATATATGCTGTTGTTAGCATGTCTGCACTGGAAGTGATATATGCTGTTGTAAGGATGTCTGCACTGAAAGGGATATATGCTGTTGTAAGCATGTCTGCACTGGAAGTGATATATGCTGTTGTAAGCATGTCTGTACTGGAAGTGATATATGCTGCTGTAAGGATTTCTGCACTCGAAATGATACATACTTTTGTAAGGATGTCTGCACTAGAAGTGATACATGCCTTTGTAAGGATGTCTGCACTCAAAGTGATACATGCTTTTGTAAGGATGTCTGCACCGGAAGTGATATGCTGTTGTAAGGATGTCTGCACTCGAAGTGATACATGCTGTTGTAAGGATGTCTGCACTCGAAGTTATTCAAGCTGTTGTAAGGATGTCTGCACTCGAAGTGATATACGCTGTTGTAAGAATGTCTGCACTCGAAGTGGTATATGATGTTGTAAGGATGTCTGCACTCGAAGTGATACATGCTGCTGTAAGGATGTCTGCACTCGAATTGATACAAGTTTTGTAAGGATGTCTGCACTCTAAGTGATACATGCTGTTGTAAGGATATCTGCACTCGAAATGATACATACTTTTGTAAGGATGTCTGCACTCGAAGTGATACATGCTGCTGTAAGGATGTCAGCACTCGAAGTGAGACATTATGTTGTAAGCATGTCTGCACTCGAAGTGATACATTATGCTGTAAGAATGTCTGCACTCAAAGTGATACATGCTGCTGTAAAGATGTCTGCACTCAAAGTGATACATGCTGCTGTAAAGATGTCTGCACTTGAAGTTATACATGCTGCTGTAAAGATGTCTGCACTCGAAGTGATACATCCTGCTGTAAAGATGTCTGCACTCGTAGTTATACATGCTGCTGTAAAGATATCTGCACTCGAAGTGATACAGGTTGTTGTATATCACAAAATGCGGAGAAGTAGGACCTCCTATGAGAGTTGACAGGACAACTGATGACGATGATAATGATCTAGTAGTACTGTAGAAGGTTTTTACTTCCTCTGCCATGTCCCCATCAATTATCTCAAAAGCCTCACGCCCATACCTCTTCAAGATTGTACGTATCAAAGCTGATTTAAAATAAGGAAATTTTGGAATGTTGAAAACATCATACTCGCCAGGCAGATGCATTTATTATATGCACTATGTAAAATTTGGTTTTATGCGGGTCTTAAAAATAGCTTTTTTCTAGTTATTCTAAGTCATTTTAAACTGTCAATTTAATATTTGAACAATACTTACCCAGAAGCAAGCATCAAGAACGGCACCTTCGTATTTCTGTAACCCTTTGACCTTTGACTCGTATGCGTAAGTGTATATGTAGTTAGCATATGATGACTGGAGAAATTGAACAACGTATTAACGATAAATACCAATGTATTTCAAGATAAATGACATGTGTTGGCATATGCAAGCAGACAGTACAGTAATTCTATTTGTGTCTAATGGATGCCACTACGTGTGGTTTCCTACTAAATCTGATTTCTGTTTTCCACTATGGCGGTTTAAGGGTGTGTAGTTTGTCACATCAGCAACATCGGGTGTGGAAATGGCAGTCGAAGATACTCCCTCTCGTAACGGAGTTCGCGTAGCTGAGCTTCACTGGCATTAAACAGTTATCTTTGTGAAAGGCTGTGCAGGTGTTGGAGGTAATATGCGAGCAGATTATCTGACGCACAAGGAGGTTACTATGATTGGGCCGGTACAGGACAGGGATGATGTCACTTAATGCCATGCAAAAGTTCATGTCGACGGTAGCTTCGCTATGGGTAGGGTCTCTAATGTCCGACAAGACAAGTCCCTTCCTCTTACTGTACACAGGCTGTAAACGCCTGCGGAAAGCTATGGTTGTTCGTCCCCTCCTGGACTTTGGTCTTGATCCATAACTTGATCTTTGAGTGGACATCCATTTTATAGAACTGGTTATTTTGTATGCAGTTTGTTGGTTCATTGCACCTCAGGCAGTTGTACTCTAAATTTAAAGCAAACACCTCTGATGAGCCACTTCAAACAACAATCGTGTGTTGGGTGGCGGCGGGTCTTGTCTCTGTTCTCCAAAATGGAGCTCCGGAACTCACACAAGGAAACAGGTTAATTCGTAGCCATCATTTTATCAAGTTCATTATTTATGATATTACTCATCATCATGTAGCAGGTCCTTTGCAGAACGTCGCTCTCATCACAGTCTGCCTGAAAGAAACTCGGTCTCTCGCCAGTTCTCCTGCCTCATGCATTTTCACACTCAAGGAGTCACTTATATCCTGTGCCCATCTTCGTGTTGGTCGGCTTCTGCCCCTCCTTCCTGGTACCATGCCTTCTGCTATAATTTGTTTCCAATCCGTCGTGGCGCTTGATATGACCAAAATATGTCAGCTTCCGAGACAGGATGGTGTTTATTAGCCAATCTTTCTTGATGTTCAGATCTTTTAAGATGTCAGTATTTCTCATCTTCTTTGTCCAGGATATTCTGAGAATCTGTCTATAGCATTTCAGCTCAAACGCCCCTATTCTCTTTCTTAAGGACTGGGAGATAGTCCACGACTCACATCCGTATGTAGCCACAGGGAAGATGTATGCTCTCAAAAGTAAATATTACTAGTGTACACAAAAATAATGTTTTAAATTTCATGTATCCTATTTTGTACCTGTGCACACATACACGGAATATCATCAACAAGAGCAAACGTCAACATGTTTGTTTAACACAAACAATATATAGTACATACGGCAACAAATATAAACAGACAAATTTAACACTAAATAAACGTCTAAAACACATTTTTTTTTTTTCCATACTAGCCAGGAAATCAAAGTCAGATTTCGAGAGCCTGCATCTTTCTTGTTGCACACACGGATGCGAGTCTTTGCATACTCACAGTGGGGAAGCAACTGTCATTTGGGGGCGGGGGGGGGGGGGGCAGTTGGGCAAGGGGAAGGGGTGTTGAGCTGAGATACTAAAGAAAATTCTTACATGGACAAAGAAGAAAATACAGACATCCTAAAAGATCTGAACATCAAGAACGGATTCGGGGAAAAATTACAGAAGGCATGGAGCCATGAAGGAAGGGCAGGGCCGACCAACACGAAGATTGACACCGGATATAAGTGACTCATTGGGTATGAGTGTGCATGAGGCTAGACAGCTGGCGAGAGACTTTCACGCAGACCGGGATGAGAGCAAAAAAAATTATTAGTAAAATTTACTATCTATATAAATACATTTAACTCTTACTTTGTTTCTTTGTGGTCATGGGTGTGGAAGACAAAGCATTGATTTTCCTACTTAACACTACCTTATAATCTGCAAAACTGAGATCCTCAAACTGTGTGCTTTCCATCCAGTCAGTGTCGGCATCTTCTGACCTTTTTTATGTGATCAATAGATATTAGTAAATATTCGGGCCTATTATTGTTGATTCATGTGCAGATGCCTCTCTCCCCAATCCAGTATAGATTGTTGCCTAAACTCCCAGGTCAGTGCGATTCAAACCCAAGGCAACCAGCGTGACATCACTGAACTACCCAGGATGCCGATTCTACAGTAACACTACTATAGGTTCCAAAAAACTTACCTGTAAACCATCGAATACAAAGAGCAATAAACAGGTGAGAAATGTGACCGTCATGACCTCGCGAGGGCCGCAAGCTAAGCACCAATGACAGCGGCAACCCTTGACTGTGTCCATCATGAGGTCTGCAACATCCAGACACACAAACAGTTATAGCAGAAAATAAGTGGGCCAACGTCTGACCATGGGCAGTTCAAAGCTAGCGGTTTCTAGTTGTGTTTTAACTTAGCTATAGTGACCATGTTCTCAGATTTTGCCGGACAAGAGGCACAAAACCGTTATGAAACTTTTTTATCGGCGCCGATGTAGTCCAGTATATGAATCACAATTTTGAGGTTTCGAGGTTTTGAACAACGAATCAACATCATGGTACACGGGTAGTAACCCACAAGTACTCCGTTCTTTTTCTAACTGAATTCTGAGTCCGAAGAAGCTCAGCACAGTGCACAGGCTATGTAGCACCGGCGAGGATCTTAAAAATACTCTGGGTAGATTTTTAACTCCCGATTTAGCCGGGCATCGCCATTAGGCTAGTCTTTTCTATTTCGAACTGCAAGGGATTTTTTACATGCGCAACTATGCACACAGGCATCCGATCTCACTACCCAGAGACCAGGAGGATTACTAGAAGTCCAAGACCACGTGAAAAAACCCATTAATCACCGGGTATTGAGCATTCAACCTCTAGCACTTGAGGCGGACACGATGCCTCGAGACCACGCAGCCCTCTGCATGACAGTTATATATGTGAAAAGCTGCAATGATGTGACGTTTTCAGATTTCCTTCTGGCTGCATCCACCACCAAGAAAATTATCATACCATTTTTCAAACTATATTACCATAGGTCGACCCCCACTGCTCGATCACACACACACACACACACACACACACACACACAAAATTATATATATATATACTCACACATACAGGCACATGCACACAAACTGCAGCTGTTGATTCATTCGACCATATTTTAGTAAGCCCGTACAATAACCACTACACCACCGCGAAAATATGCAGCTTCTTTTTATAGTCCGTGTGGTGTTAGGAGACATGTCTACCTCCAACCTTCTGCCTCGTGTGCTCTTAATCGATTCTGACTCAGTGGTTCTTCGATGTCATGATGTCAAACTGTCCAGCATCTTCTCTCTCTCTCTCTCTCTCTCTCTCTCTCTCTCTCTCTCTCTCTCTCTCTCTCTCTCTCTCTCTCCCTCTCCCCCCCTTGCGTCTCCAGCTTTCCGACCGTCACGATGTACTCCAGTTTTCTCCTTCTTATGACATGACTCAAGAATATAGATTGTCTCTTTCTGATGTGGGCAGTCAGTTCTCTTCGTGAGTCAGTTTCTTTCAAGACACCTACATTACTCTGGTAATCTATCCAGAATGTTCCCATCATCCATCTTTAATACCACATCTGCCGCAATAAGTAAAGTACCACTTCACTTTGCGTTCGATATTTGAAACAAGAATAGACGTACTGCATACCCAAAAGCATGTCGTAAGAGTCGACTATGGGAGCTTCTATCAAAGTCGGAGTGCTTCTGCCTGAGAGGCAAGGAACCAACGGTCTGCATACACATTAGTCAGATCTGTCAAACAGTTGCACACGCAACACTCAAGTTATGGAACAGGACTGCAGTCCAGAAGTGGACGAACAACTAGAACTTTCAGCCAGAGTTTACAGCTGTTGAACGCGAAGAAGAATTATATCAGGTATTATGTGACGACATGATAATTATTGACGTACAAGATGTTGACGACTCGGCGTGGCTGTTGTCATGGTGACCACTAGCACCAACGTTAGGCTTCAGTTTTCCGATTTTTTCTTGAAAAATGACGTAAACGACCAGACCAGCGAAAAAGAGCTGCAACAAAAACACACAAATTGAACTAATTTAGGAATGGGATGAAAAGAGAAAATCAATGTAGAAAATATTACTGATAGCACAAGCAAAGCATTTGATCTGTCAGACTATTGATTTCTTCTTCTTCTTCGCGTTCACCAGCTGTACACTCTGGCGGAAAGTTCTGGTTGATCGTCCACTACTGAACTGCAGTCCCGCTCCAGAACCTGAGTGTTGCGTGTGCATCAGTTTTACAGATCTCATTCTCTTGAATACAGACTGTTGGTTCCTTGCCTCTCCGGCAGATGCACTCCGACTTCAAAGGAAGCTCCCCAATTAGTCGACTCTTACGACATGCTTTTGGGGAGGCAGTGGGTCTATTCTTGTTTTCCCCACAATGGGGCCCCGGAACCCACACAGGGGTCTATTGATATATATGGGATGATTTACAGTTAAATAAAAAAATAAATAAAAAAATGATGTTAATGTAGAGTGTCTGAAGATACACTAGAGTGGATGCAGGGTGCACACCTCTTACACAATTCATGGGATGGGTTCGCTCAACGTGTGATAATGTAACTAGTGTTATCTTCAACAAAGTGCACACCTCTTACACAATTCATGGGATGGGTTCGCTCAACGTGTGATAATGTAACTAGTGTTATCTTCAACAAAAGTTATGTGACGAGGTAGCGACTGTCACATGTTGCCTAATTATGACAGTCGTGACAAGTTAACAAGTGTTATCTTTAACAAAAGTTCTGTAACGAGATAGCGACTTTTACATTTGGTCAAATTCTGATAGACGTGACAAGTTAACGAGTGTTATTAAGAAAAGTTACATAACGAGATAGCGACTGTCATATTTGACAAAACAGTCACAGTCGTGACAAGTTCATCATCATCAGTTCTCGTTATGCCTAGTGGCAAATGAGGCTTCAGAGAGAATTGTCCATGCTTTCCTGTCCTGTGCAATCTTCAATGCAGTTTTCCATGTCAAAGATGCCACACTCAGGTCACTTTCCATCGTTCGTCTCCATGTTGTTTTTGGGCGCCCCTTTTTTCTCTTTCCCTCTGGTATCCATGTGAGAGCTGTTTTGGTAGGTATATCAGGATTCATTCTCATAACGTGGCCAAGCCATTTCCATCTTCTCTTGGTTATCATACTGTTTCTTGGTTTGTGAATCGAATTAGTTTTGTGTTTGAGATTGTATCTGGCCAGAAAATTTTGATAATTCTACGTAGACATGTGTGGTAGAAGGTGGACAGCTTGCGTACATCCTTTTCGGTCATTCTCCAGCATTCCGCTCCATAAAGAAGAAATGGCAAAATGATGCTCTTGTAGAGTCAGAGTTTTGTTCCTCTGCAGTAATTGTTGGATTTCCAGATTTACCTCATCCTTCCAAAAGCAGCTCTAGCTTTGTTCAGACGTGACTGTATGTCTTCCTCTGTCCCTCCCAGTAGGGACACCTCACTGCCAAGATACGTGAAATGTTTTACATTTTCTAGTGATTAGTTACTTATGGTCACTGGTTGTTGGTTTGGACTGTTTGTCATGATCTTAGTTTTCTTTCCATTTATTCTCAGTCCCACCATTTCTGCTGTGCTGTGTAGTCTGTTACTTTTGTCTTGTATGTGTTCATGTTTATGTGATAGGAGTGCTATATCATCTGCAAAATCAAGGTCCTCAAGCATGGAGAATGGAGTCCACAAGGTTGAAGAGGAGAGATGACATGGCACATCCCTGCCATACAACTGTCTTTACTGGGAAAGATGTTTTGTAATTTTTTATGCTGCAGGGAAGGTCTTTATAGAAGAGAGCAATTATGTTGACTATTTTTTCTGGAATTCCATACTGTCGTAAAATTTTCCAGAGACTGTCTCTATGGAGGCTGTCAAAAGCTTTCTCAAAGTTACAAGTTAACGATTTTTATTATCGTTAAATAATAAACGATGTTACATTTGACAAACTTATTATTGTCGTGACAAGTTAGCAAGTGTTATCTTCTACCCCAAACATCGGGCAAACGTACAAAAGTAACAACTGTCACCTTGTTAAAGTTCAGACAATCGTAACGAAAAAACGACTGTCTCCTCTCATCCTTTATTTTAAAAAAAAAAAATCCTAATTGTGATAAATCATTGACCATCCCACTATAGTGGCACCTGTCAACGACCTACCAATCAACTGTCATTACTGCCCCTGTTTGGCACTTTTGCGGTTGGGGTAGATGTTGGGATGGAGGGCTCACTAAGCCTAAGGATTTAGGGATGCATGGCTAGTGCTGTCGCCACGGCCTGTGCAGGTTAGGATTGTATTTTTGCCCCCGACAGAAAAAGTCCGCAACCTTACTGAGGAATCAAACCTGGGTCTCAAAGGTCTGGCCTGGAAACATGTATATATATAACTATATATATTATATATATATATATATATATATTATATATATATATTATATATATATATATATATTAGCGCAGTCGTGTGTGTGTGTGTGTGTGTGTGTGTGTGTGTGTGTGTGTTTACCCGTGTGTATGGTTTTATCACCGCGTGCAGTGACGCTGGTTCACATCTCCTGACTTAAGCTTTACCTTTATTATAAGAAGAACTATTTTTGAGGTCCCTGGTGAGTATTTCTAATGAGGTCTGCATTGTAGTGACTAGAAAGATGCTCACCTGTATTGCACCAAGGATATAGAAAGCACTTGGTAATCTGCTCATATGACGGTATCTGAAGACGCGGTGAGGCTGAGGCGGAATGTATGTGTTAACTGTGGCTGGCTCCGCCCTTGTACCGTTGGGGCCTGTACCGTTTCGTGGGTGTGTTTCAATGGTGAAGCCGTCAATGTACGGCGTACAGTCGGTGTTCAGCAGAAATGCAGATGCGATCATGGGGCTAACAAATGCGCCAACACCGTAGAGACAATGCATAGCCTGTTGGAGACATGATAGTTGTTTAGGAATCTGTACTGTTACATTTAAAAGCTTGTTGCATATCATCGATACAAGTATAACATATTATTCAATGATCAGTGAAGACAAATATTGACTTATCGGAAATATCTCCTTCTTAGAGGCTTTTCTGTAGAGTACTAGTCATCTTGTCTATCCAGTCTTTTCTGTCTAGTTACTGTCACTCCTTTGTATACAGATTCTGTTTTTTTTTTTTAATGCCATGATGTCAAATTGGTTAACAAATCTGTGAGCGTACTTTTCTCCTCAAGCTTTCCTGATGTCAAGGTGCAGTGCATGTTTCCAATGTCATTATCAACATCATTAATGTCCACTTTTGTCGTTAAGCGTCATGCTGGAGGAACGTACCGATGTAGAAAGTCTTTAATGTCACCAATCTACTATCTGCTATGGCGACCCTTAGCTTTCACATCAGATCTTTTAAAGTATAGCGTTTGTGTTGGTAGTTGTGATTGCATTATAACGAGATTACCAAATCATATCTCCTGTTTCTCTATGAACTCAAAACACGGTGTTGTTACCACAGTCTGTCGAATAGTATCATTTCTCTCTGTCTGTGATGATGAAGTTGACGTCTTACCCTGTGCCTCTAATTTCACAGATGTTACTTTTACGTAGGTAAGCTTTTGATGATGTTCAAGTTTGGCAGTGGTATCACAATATTTTTGTCTGGTCATGGCGTGCCAAAGACCAGGAGGATTACTAGAAGTCCAAGACCACGTGAAAAAACCCATCCATCACCGGGTATTGAGCATGGAACCTCTAGCACTTGAGGCGGACACGATGCCTCGAGACCACGCAGCCCTCTGCATGGCAGTTTCTTTTTAAAATTTCGTCTCCAGGATTGCAGCCAGAGAGGTTGACCCCCGATGACGCGAACCGCGACTATTACGATGATAATATAAGCAGATCAGGTCCCAGAGACTTCATAAAACCGACCGTATCAACCAGTTAAACTGGGCCAGGCCAGGGCTACAAAGCAACCTCTTCAATGTGGATCGGTCCGATGTAACTTATTCTTTCGGTGAGTTGATTTCTTCTAGTGCATCCTTATTACACATGAAATAGTTTATTAGTAGGAGACTTGAGGTTAGTTGCGTATCCTTTACAGGACGTTGCAGAACCAACCCTAACAGCCCCTGGCTGTTATGTGGTTTTTCTAGGCAAATTTACGTCCAGTAGTTTGCCATTGCTTTCTGGACGGTCGGCTTTCTTGATACCACTGTCGAAACCAACGCAAGGCGCATGGCCTGTAGCTGGGATCGAACCCGGCATCCCGGCATTACGAAGCGTTCACATCGACTTAGCCACAGAGCCGACGGTACGAGACTAGAGAATGTTAAAAGTAGGAAATGGGGGGGGGGGATGGGGAGGGGGGACAATAACAACCGCAAAATTCCCAGTAAACCACAGGAGGTCTTATAAATAGAATCTTCACACAGGAAAACTAAACATGTGGATGATGTGATAATCATCGTCATGGCAACACTACGGTGCGTTTTTCAGCAGCAAGCCAGAGATCTATTTATTGTTGGTAGTTGCAATCTGGTTGTGTTTCTGTCTTGCCTTTCCCTGATTGTGGGCCAGTTGTCAGTTGGTTACACGCCATCAACCAAGCTACATGATCATTCATTTGCACCTGTCATGATGGTTAAGATTCATAACTGACTGCAGCATGCTAAGACTATGACTACATTAAAGCATTTTAAATAGGATTTAATACAAATATGTCATCATCGCGCAGGAAGTCAGACAGAACCAGTCTGCCATCAGAAGAAGACTGAAAGATAATCCACGTTGTACCGGTCTCCTTTTACTTCCAGGTTTAACGATAATCATCCAGGTTTAACGAAGCAGAGGTAACTTCTTGGATCGTCAAGTGGGTTGCAGCGGTCCTGTATAAACGCCAACCTGCTTGTCGCCTATGTTTGTGGAGCTATGAGCCCTATAGTATCGCCATTTCCTCTGTGCTTCTCAATGCAAAGACCAGCAGGATAGCGGAAATAGAGGCAGGGGGAACATTGAGGGAATTTAGACTTTTGCTGATGATGTTTTCGTCTACAGACAGGATGAAAATTGAACAGAAATATCTAGAGAACTGCAGAACACGGTAAACAAGCTGGGGGGGGGGGAGGGAAGAGGTGGGGAGCGGAGGGAAGGGGTGGGTAGGGGAAGGGAAGGGGTGGGGGAAGGGGTGGGGGAGTGTCAGGAAACAGTTTCTAGTATCAGCCCTGATAGGGCAGCGGTATTGTGGTGTTCATTAGTAGAATAGTTAGAGACGAGGTTTCAGACATCACAATAAATGGTAGTAACATAAAAAGAAAGAATTCACTGAAATATCTTGGTATAACTTTTCAGAGGAGCATGTCATGTGAGTACCATGTGAAAGAGCTAGTTAGAGATGAGGAAATCCTTCAGAGCGTTAAAGGCGATGACATCAGCGGACATGGAACAGAGAATGCTCTACACACACTACCAGCAACTGATTATTTTGTTGACGGAGTATGATTTGTTTCATGCTCAGGTTATCTAACAGCCAAGTGAGAAGCTGGAACGCATGCAGAATGAGGCCATGCGCGTTATTTTTTTATGTACACGGGACACGTCCAATTGTGTGCTTGCAGCACATACGTACATTGCCATCCGTATATAAAAGATACACTGTGTTACAGGTGAAAATGTGCCTTAAAGTTTCAACGGACAGTGAACACCTTCTACATAAGGTCTTGTGGGACAGCAAGGGTCATCAGCTTGGGAAAAAAAAAGTAGCTCATGGATGGTACATGCAGAGGTCATGATCAGAACTGTTTGTGCAACTGACTAGATAGCGCGCGGTGAAGAATGGGTTACAGTGCCACCAGGCAAAATAGACTTGCAAAAAGTGATAGTTTCCTTGGACCGATGGTGCCAGGAAAAGATAGCTGGTGAAGCAAAGGCATCGATGCAAGATCTGATCAATGAAAATTCACTCCTAGAAAACATCGGTTATGTACTCAGATTTATCTGTCGCGAGAGGTAGAAAGAGTGGGTGTAGTTTAAATACAATGGTAAATGGACACGGTTTGAAAACAGACAGCCAGGCGTATACCGTCACAGCATCCAGTATGAGAATGGGGTGGAGGCAGTAACGTAGTTTCCGATGGCTGGAGAGCAGCACATGCCAACATGTTGTAACTTTAACGGACTCACTCTTTTGAAAATAGAAACGGGCATCCTACGCATATAATGGCTTGCATCGCTTGATAAGAATCAGATCATGAACATATCATGGATTTTATGGCAAGAGATTCAGGTGTGCGGGATAATGAGCAGGCTGATTAGATTGGCTGCTGCGACTCCTGTATGTGGTGAGCTACTTTATGCCACAGCAAACGTAGTGAAGGCTTTCTGGAATCAAGTGGACAGTGCAAAAGAACAACAAGAGCATCCATACACTGAGAGACTAATTCAGCGGGATGGGGTGGGGTGGGGGGGGGGGACGAGCAGAGTTTTTTGGAAGATAATTCAAAACTGAGGGGAAAAGATAGGCGGGTTTTAATCAGGTTGCAGCAGGAACTGTTAGCATACAAAATCTTCGTTGGCTACGGAGGAAGGAGACGGGGCACGTACGGCACGTATGTGTCCCGAGTGCAGGGATGCCAATTCTTGGTTGAGTCATTCATTCATTCATTCATTCATTCATTCATTCATTCATTCATTTATTCATTCATTCATTCATTATAGGTACATTTGGTAGTGTCCATTTTAAGATCGGCAATTTAAAAAAAAAAAAGTCAGAGGAGATGACGCTATTTAGGACTCCTTCAAAGAAGAGTCGAACAAAGAATCACCAAAAGGGTACTGAAATGGGAAACAGAAGGACTGAGGAGATAAGAACGTTCAAGACAAACTCTAAAGTGAAAATTGATGAAAGAGGGTAGACTAAATTCCATGCATGTGATCGAAGTGATTGGACAGAATAGAACGAAATGAAGAAATAGACTGCGAGCCCTATGTGACATGGCATAACAGGACAATGAATGAATTAGGGGGGGGGGAATCATTGTGCAACAGTTTAGAAAACAAAGAAGATGCTGACTTGGCGATAGTTGGTTGGTCTATGCTACACTGGAGTATGAAGGACAGAATAGGAAGAAGAATATTCTGGACCTTGTTCTTAGTATTAATCCGTTTTTGGTTTCTTTCTATTCAGCGTGATGTATTCTGCATCTCTTCGATGGTGCGTCCCTATTTAGTACTACTGTCTGAAAACCACGACAGTGGTCTTTTTCTGAGCCACCTGTGGCGAAAGCTGATCGCTGATGACTCTGAGATGCGTTAACTAACCTTCAAGTCACAGAGCCATATAAATAAAGCATTTGGCACGTCTAAACACTATGCAATACAATAACCACACCAAAACAACTCGGCTATGCAGACCAGATATTACAATGACAGACCTGTAGGAATGGTCCAACGTTGTTACCAAACATCTGAATCATCCTCAAGTTGGTCAGACAGTCCAGACACCCCATACACCAGCCCATGATGATCAAAACCAGGATCAGCGAGGCCAGGCTGGAGCAGGCGGGGATGAAGAACATGCACAGAGACACACCCAAGGCTCCACTCAACATTAGCAAGTGTACTGGAACTCTGTGTCACAGAGAAACAAAGAAGCATCAGTGAGCGGACCTTTGAAGCAGCTTTAGTGCAGTGGCTGATGTTACAAGTCGACACAAAAGTCTCGGGATCGTATCCCCATCGTAGCGGGTTTTTTTTTTTTTTTTTAGAAATCCAAGGGGGTAAAGACTAGACTCGCAGGTTGACCTCATCTTCTTCTTCTGCATTTGTCTTTAAAAGGGTGGTTGTAGTTCACGGCTAGGCTGTGTTATCTGTACCTTTCGGCAAAACATATCCCATTTTTAGCAAATCTTCAATTAGACGTCCTTTACGGCAGCGAGTCTATTCAGCTTGATGTAATCTGCATCTCTTCGACGGTGCGACCCTATTTAGTACTACTGTCTGTGGGTGGGGGGGGGGGGCACCTGGCAAGAAATGTGGTCCTGGGAAGTAAAGGCGATCGACGTGACGTTGAACACATCATTCATAACTGGTGACTGTATGATCAGATGTGGCTAACGATACGATTATAGCTTTAGTCTGTCGCAAATATGTATATAGACAATGTGTGTTTGGGACAATTATCAGAAATAGGGAATGAATGTTAAAGAACTAACCAAACACATACAAAACCGAAAAGGAAAATACAACATGTGAACTTATGTGAAATTTATAACAATAAAAAAAAAAAAAGCGGCACAAACACTTTACCACTTAACAGTCTCGTATCAATAAAAGAAGAGAATATTCAAATGAATCAGAAGGCCATCAAACCGGCACAAGATTACTACCATATAATGGACAGACCAGAGCAAGTCATTACAGAACAGGGCACAGTCAACTTCGCAGCCACATGTACACACACTTTAAGATTGGGGAATAAGCCGTGTGCAGGTGTGGATTGGCACCTGAGACAACAGGTCATGTCCTCCAAGACTTTCCCAAATACAAAACATCAAGGTAAAACTTCTGGCCAAGCGAAACACTAATGGAAGCCAAGTTGTACGGTTCACTGAGTGAATTAAAAAAGACAGTGAAGTTCATGCTAGAGACAACATTGCAAATATACATAATCTGTTTCGAGTAAACGGAAGAAGAAGAAGAAGAACACTACTGCAGTGAAGGGGTCGCTGTCTCTTATTCTAGTAGGTTGGAAGTGAGCTCAAGCTTTGTTTAAATGTGTAATAATAATAATACACGCAGGTTCGGGTGCCCCTGTTACCGAAAAAAGGAGGGGGGTGGTGTCCTACAAAAAAAGTAGTTATAATTTTCTTAGACAGTTGTACATAATTTCATGGAGGTACATTTGTACTGGGAAGTACTGAGAGCTTGTGAGCCAGAAAGATGGTCACACAGGGTTACCAACGCCACGCGACATGGACCATGAGAAGAACAAACTGAACGGCCTAATATCATGGTATGAAAACACCTGTGTCAGAGACTGTTAACAGTTCGCGAGACAGCAAGTGTGGAAAGACATGATTACCAATGCCACACGGCATAGACTGTACGAAGAATTACTTAAACCGTTAGAATAAACAAACTTTGTTGTCCCCTGACAAACAATAGGCCCCTGTGGGTTTGTCTATAATGCAATAACTTTACAATTGCTTTCAAATAAGTAGTAAATTTTTTCCCACCAGGACATCACACAGAGCGATAAATACCAGATGACACAAAGTGCGACCATGCGGATGAGGATCACCCGTGGGGAGGTACCAGAAACCGCGTTAAACCGTCAGGCTATATTGAGGCCCAGGGCAAAAGCCAGGCTGGAGCCTTAAAATAAGGTAAAATTGCGTCCAGCATTGGGACGACCTTGGTAAGCTGACAAATAATAAACTAAACTCAGTACATAGTGGTTGATTTCGTTAAATGAATGGCATAATAATTCACTATAGATTTTACATTATTATAATAACAACAGGCAAACATTAAACTGACCTGACTACAAGGCATCCGGCTGAGATGGATCCAACAAGGGTCATAATTAACTGAACGAAGAACACCCAGTTCATCTTCTTTAGATCTGTGTTGGTCTGACAACCCAAGTCGAACACTGTTGGTCCTAGAAAGCCAACACAGACTCCAAAACTGCCAAACACACCGCAGTAGGTGACTACGTACAGCCAGTTGTCCAGAAACAATTTGCAAAAAGGAACAGATTTGTCTGGCCTGTGGTGCTCTGTCTGCTGAAGCCATTGTAAATCACTGGGTTCTTTCTCTGCGCCTTTAGTTGAGGACTTTGTCTCAGAGCTGTCATCGATGAATGTCATCATGCATTAGATGTCCTTATTAGCTGTCTGTAAGGATATATGTTATTAGTACACTTCGAATACAACTTATTTACCAAACAATCTTTATTTATACAAACAATGATTTTGTGAGCTTAATTATCGAACTATATGAGGCTTAAGTGTTGGGAACAGAGTTTCACAATTTCGAACATCAGGGTTAGAAATCAGCTATAGGCGATTTGGTAGCAGGTTGTTTTAACTTTATGCTGACATCTTCAAGAGTATATCACCGCCCAGAGAATATTGACACACTAATGTACGTAAAACTGCATTGCAAACAACTGAAAAGTGTCGAGATTGGTGGACGATGTCCCAGAAAGGATGTGCAGGTAACTTATTTAATCCCCAAACGTTGGCAAAGCATAAAACTCGACGTTATTATCGATCTTTTTACATTTGTAGTTACACAGGTTCTAGATTTAACAATTCTCTATACTAACGTCCTTCGAGTATCCGTTTGTACTGTTGTACTGTGATACTCGTAGTCAAGAAATCATGTGTGGTCGTTTTGTTTCGAATGGAAATAATATAACCATAAAACAATGTGTGTACCGGATGTGATAAATCTTCACCCGGAAATGATTTTATCGTGATTGCAAACCATAGAGTAGATCGGCAGCAGATATCCAGGGGAGGCGGGGGGCATTAAGGTTTCTGCTTAATCCATATCACATCAATAAATCAAACACAAATGGCGTCAGCGAGATGATCGTCAGCTACACACGGATCAGTTACGAGTACACACCTGGGCAGGAGTACAACATCTGTAGATTCTCCTTCTTATAATCCACCTTGTTTGCTGATGGTAGTTATGATGATCCACAACCTTTCTGTCAGCTGCAAGCGATTTCCCAGCAAACCGCTTTGGATTTCTTTTGACAACGGTATGGACACAGTACCACTACAAAACAATGGCAAACTATTGTTTGTTTGTTTGTTTGTTTTAGTATCCAGAAGCCATGAGTTGTTAACCTTTAGGCTTGGTATTATGGATATCCCAACCTTTAGGGCTTGATTCCATTGTAACTACTGTAAATCTGGGAGAAATGTGGCTTTTCTGCATACCCCCGGGAGTGAACACAGACCACAAGGAGTTCGTCGCCCGGTCACCGCGCAATCCGGTTTAGTCAACTACGCTAGAGAGCCGGGCATGGCAAACTATTGAACGTACACTTGTTTGTAAAACTACAAATCGTTAACGAATGCTCGGGCTGGTTTGCGACCTCCTAAAGGGGACAAGAAACTCACTTTAATTCTGGCGGGAACAGCTCAAGTATTGTATTCTGACTTCTTTAAAATGTGCGCCGAAAACCCAGTCAAATCTCATGTATTCTTTCTGAGTCATTTCGAAGAGACAGCAGAAGCTATCAGCTGGTCAGTACTGTGGTTATCGGTGAACTGGTTGTCCAACTCTGGACTAAACAGGTGAAGAGTGCCTGTTTCAGTCCCAGCAGGTTTCTTCCGCGCAGCCGTTAAGACAAGATTAGTTGCGTATCCTTTACAGGACGTTGCAGAACCAACCCCAACAGCTCCTTGCTGTTGTGTGGTTTTTCTAGGCAAATTACGTCCAGTAGTTTGTCATTGCAATCTGGACGGTCGGCTTTCTTGATACCGCTGTCGAAACCAAAGCATGGCGCATGGCCCGCAGTGGGATCGAACCCGGCATCCCGGCATTACGAAGCGTTCGCATCGACTTAGCCACAGAGCCGACTAGCCGTTGAGATACTGTAGAGAAGTTTGTAAGCACAGTAGAAAAAAAAAAAGTTGACCTATTTGCATCATTACATTTTCATTGTTAATGTATGCACAGTGTCTCATTGCTAATGTTATGTAGACATTTTGCAAGCTTACTGTATATGCAATGTATAATTGTTTATGTGCTATGTAGGTCCTTGCACATGTCCTTTATGACGTAGATGCTTGTAAAATTAAATAATATGTATCATACTTATGTTGTGCAGATAATTATAGATGTATGTGTATTGTATTAGAGCCTATGTTATGTTTTTAAAATGAAAATGTGTCAGTGTTTATGCAACCTTTTGTGCAATGTATCTTATGTAGATCCCGACACGTTTATCAGTGCTTATGTAATGTAGACCCTTGTAAATTTATGTGCAAAATAATATATCTCGCTAAATTCTTGCAGGTAAAATCAGTGCGTTCATTTTGCCGGATCCCTGCTGTACGAACATTTGAACAAGTGTTGCTCGAGACAAAAAAAAATATATTTTTTAGAATAATAAAATAAAGCAAAAGCAAATTAGAAATAGATTTCTTATGTAAACATGTCACATAATATTGATTCCGTCACCAACGAAATCGACATTTTCTAATAGGCTTTATTATCTTTCCTACCTCCACGCGTATCTCAGGAAGGCAACAGCTGGCAAATCTATAACAATTCTATATTGGCCAAATTATGTACAATGTTTCTTGGGTGTTTATTGAAATGTTCTACATTAGCAACGCGAATTCTGACAACTGTACGAGACTTTCAATGAGCAGACAGGCAGGCGTAGACAGGAGATTGAACGTTAGACTGAAATCTTCGTTTGGATTTAAGAATCACCTCTGTTCTTCTTCTTCTGCCTTTCTATCCTCCAATGGAGCATAGGCCCTCAACCAACTCACGCCAAGTCGTTCTATCCTTCGCCATTGCATGGAGCTCTCCCCATGTCCTCCCAATCTTTCTAATCTCGTTCTCCAGCTCTCTTCTCCATGTGTTTTTTGGCCTTCCTTTATTCATATGCCCCTGTGGGTTCCAATGCAAAGACATTCTAGTTATGCTGTTCTCCTGTTTTCTCAGTGTGTGCCCTATCCAACGCCAGCGTCTTTTCCTCACTTCCTGATCCACTGGATCCTGTTTAGTTCTCTCCCGAAGTTCTACATTAGTTATTCTATCATACCATTTTATTCCCTCTATTCTGCGCAGGCACCAGTTAATGAATGTCTGTAATTTATTAGTAATTGTCTTGGTTGTTCTCCATGTTTCCGCCCCATACAATAGTACTGATTTGACATTAGAATTAAAAAATTTTAGTTTAGTATTTCTTTTAATTTCTTTTGACCTCCACAAATTCCCTAGTGCTATGAAAGCCCCTCTTGCCTTTTGTATTCTTATTTTAATATCTCTATCAGTTCCTCCATCTTTATCTACATTACTGCCTAAATAGGTGTACGACCTCCACGTCCTGGAGTGGGGTGCCATTAGAGAAAACCACATTACTATTTGCCTGATTTATTCTCATTATCTGTGTCTTTCCTTTATGGATTTTCAGACCAAGCTGCTTTGATCTCGCATTAAGTATATTTAATTAATCTTGCATCTGATTCCGTGAATGCGACAGAAGAGCAATATCATCAGCGAAGTCCAGATCATCAAGCTGTTTTGTAGGGGTCCACTGAATTCCATTCTTGGTGTTAGCAGTTACTGTTTTCATAGTCCAGTCTATAGCCAGTAAAAATAAGAGATTCGACAAAAGACATCCCTGTCGCACACCTGTTTTTATTTCAAATGCATCTGTTAGCTTTCCCTCATGAAGAACTCGACATTTCATGTCTTTTATATGTTGCCTTTACTAAGTTGATAATTTTCTGTGGGATTCCATAGTGCCCCATCAATTTCCAGAGAGATGCCCTATCTATGCTGTCAAATGCTTTTTTCATAATCTATAAATCCAATGTAAAGTGGTGAGTTCAGTTCAATGCTTTGCTCTATTATAATACGTAATGTGGCTATCTGATCAGTACAGGATCTTGTTTGACCGAAACCTGCCTGCTCATCTCTTAGCATTTTAATAGCTAGCATCTTTTTAATCTTTTCCAAAATAATTCTACTTAATATTTTTTCCAGGAACTGACAGCAACATAATTCCTCTATAGTTTTCACACTCCTGTAGATCACCTTTTTTGGGCAGTTTCACAAGATATCCTTCTCTCCAGTCTGCTGGTATTTCTTCGGTCTCCCAGACTTTACTGAATAATCTATGTAGCAATTCTGTTGATGTGTTTATGTTGGCCCTGATGGCTTCAGCTGGAATACCGTCTGGGCCTGTCGCCTTTCCTTCCTTGAGAAGATTCTATAGCTTTTCCTAATTTCCTCTTTGGATGGTATCTCACAGTTGATATCCAGTTCCATTTCTAAAGGCTGGATATCTGGGGGAACCTCTGGGCCTGGTCTATTTAGAAGCATTTCAAAATATTCAACCCATCTGTCCATTTGATCTTTAGTGTTAGTAAGTACCTTTACTTGACTATTTTTGATTAATCCAGTTGGCTAACTATATTTACCTACTAATTTTCTTGTGTTACTGTAAAGTTCTCTGAGGTTTCCTTTTGCTGCTGCTGTCTCTGCTTCTTGTGCTAGATCATTTAGATATTTCACTTTATCTGCCCTTATATGCCTCCTAACTTCATTGTTGGCTTCTGTGTATTTCTCCTGAGCTCTAGCTTTAGCAGCTCTAGTTTTGCTATTGTTTAATTCTGCCTTTTTACTTTTCCTATCTTCAATCAGTTTAATGGTTTCTGGTGTTATCCATGCTTTATGTTTCCTTTCTTTCTTGCCAAGAACTATCACCTCTGTTACCCTAGGATTTTTTTTTCTTCATGGTCGACAAAGTCTACAATTGTTACGAGCAAACTTCCGGGGAAAACAGAAGCAACTGGCGTGGTGTATGCCACATCACGTATTGCAAGCTTGTTCTTTGTATTATCTTCCTCTGTTACCACTTAATATGTTCAGGCAGATACACAATTGTGACTCTAGTTCTTCTTGAGGCCTCTGTCTTAGATATGTAATAGTTGTGTAGTGTGTCTGACTTTGACTGTTCACTGAGTTTTTTTTTTTCAACCATAGACTCAACGTCCCTCCCATCTTTTACTATAATACTGGTATGGCAGCGTGGTATCAAGCACATTCCTTGCACATAGGTAACGCATTTAATTTGTTTCGTTTATAATTCAGTATTGATTTTACACTG